CTTCCTTCCTTCCTTTCTCTCTCTCTCTCTCTCCCTCTCTCTCTCTCTCTCTCTCTCTCTCCTGACCCTTCTCCCTCTCTCTGTGCTGTGCCTCTCAGGTCACTGGGAAGATGGATGAGAACCAGTTTGTGGCTGTGACCAGCACCAATGCAGCCAAAGTCTTCAACCTTTACCCCCGGAAAGGCCGCATCGCAGTGGGATCTGATGCTGACCTGGTCATCTGGGACCCTGACAGCGTGAAGACCATTTCTGCCAAGACACACAACAGTGTAAGGCCCATCCACTATGTGCAGACCTGTGTGAGCTGCAGGCATTGGGAGACAGTCCAGGATTTCTAAAACACACTCCCGGGATAGGACCAAGGTTCTCCTCAGGATGTTGTAACCTGAGGTTTCCTGAGAGGGCAAAAATGACTCTTCACTTTCTTTTACCTCATGAGGGTCTGGAAGGCTGTGCCTCTTGGCCATGTTTTGGAGGTAGTGGCATCTTTAGACCTTCAGAGTCCTTAGTGTGACATCAAGACTTCAGAAGCTTCTAGAAGTCAGTCATTTTCATGGTTTGAATAGCATGTGTTGTGTGGGACTTACTGCAAATAGAGCAATCACGTGTCCCCTCCTGAGATGGCCACTGGGCACTTGCAGATTTCTCAGGCCAGCCTTGCTGTGTGGAAGTCTGATTGACAGCTGTGCTTCTTGTCCTAAAAGAATTGGGCCACGTTCACGTCTCCTCACATTGGAACACCCTAGACCGTCAGTTACAGCTTAGCAACTGCAGAATTTGTGGGAGCTCTTGGTAACAGTGCCCAGGGATGCACTGACTGTTATCATCTTGGCTCGCAACTGAGAACCAGGGGTTCAGTGAATGAGCTTCTGGGTGACGTGGGAGTCTGGGCGGGGGTCAGTGGGCCCAAAGCAGAGGTGTTAGATCCCACCAACTCCTCAGACAACATTGAATTTGTATAACGCAAAGAGAGCCTGAATAAGAGATAGCCTTGGGCAGAAGTGTTTTGTTTTTTGTTTTTGGAGACAGGGTCTCATGGAACAGTCTTGGCAAGCCTCAAACTCACTGTCCTCCTGCCCCAGCCTCCTTACACAGGCATGTGCCACCCAGCCAAGGGAGAGGTATTCTATGCCAGCACCTTACTTGAATCTTTCTCCCCCCAGTCCTGATATTTTAATTAACTTCGGCCATGTGATCAAGAAATACTTCTTGCACATACATGTGCCTACAGCACTGACCTACAAAATAATATTCAGTTACTTGTTTAAATTTTATTTTTTTTGAGGCAGGGTCTCACTTTATAGCCCTGGTTAGCCTGGAACTCACGATGTATACCAGGCTGGCCTTGAATTCACAGAGATCTTCCTGCCTCTGCCTCCTGTGTTCTGGGTTATTAAAGGCATATACCACCATACCTGACTTTGTTAAAAATTCTAGCATACGCTGTTTAAAAATAGCTGAACGGTATAGAACCTTCTTTTCATGGAATTTGCTACCAACTCATGATTTCACAAGAAGCCAGTTTAAAGGTAACAGAGGTTGAGCATAACTTTGCCAAAATGCTTGAAGCCACAAGTATGTAGCTGTTAGAATTTTTCAGACTTTCGAATATGTACATAGATGTTAGCAGCTGAGCATCTCTAACCTACTAACCTGATGTCTAAACATCTCCAGAGTCCTACTCTTGAAGTGAGCTCTTAATGAGTGAATTAGATCTCTAGATGAAGGTCTGAGTGGACAGCAGGCTCCACGTGGACTGTGGGCCGGGGACAGCAAGGGTAGCCACCGCCCATATGCCACGATAGCGCAAAGTAGTTCTGGTGTCTCCAGAACTAGCCCAGGCCCTTTGCCAGTCTGAGTTCTCTCTCTTGGACAGAAGGGCGTGGGTGAGGCATGTTGGGCTGAGTGCTAGCTTCTGCGGCACCTGTGGGTGTCCAGATGGCGATGGCTTCTTGGGGAGGCTGGTCTTGCCCTGCTTCCCCACGGGCTGGCTCAGCACAGTCTTAGCACCATGCCCACTTAAACTCCTATCATGCGTCTTGGGATGGCCGATGACGTCCTTATGGGTGAACCTCCCTATGCGTCTCACATCACATTCCCACTCCTTTCATTTGACCTCACCAAAGGGTCTGGAGCGATTATCCCGAGTGGGAAGATAAATAAGCAGGTGAGGAGAGCTTAAGTGACCAGTCTAATGGTACGTAGCGATTTTGCAGTCGAGCCAGAATTAGAAGCCAAAATTCTTCAGCATTGTTCCCCGCCAGATTATGTGTGCATGTGCAGTGTCTCAGTTTGGGGTGGGTGGAGAAAGTGCCCCTGCTTTGTGGGGTTCCCTCCACAGAGGACAGTCAGGGCTTATCGAAGATATAGGTGACTGGGGTTGGAACTGGCTTTAGGATCTCTTCTCCTGGGTAGAGAGAGAGTGAGGAGGAGTGACAGTTTGGGAAGACTGTTGCTGCTGTCCCAAGCCACAGCCCTACCCTGACTGACCCTAGGCTTAAGTAGGTGGCCCTTCCAGCTCCTCATTGCCTCCTCCCGTTTCAGGCTCTAAGCGTGCCTGTGTGGCATTGGCCATCTGGGAACATACACACAGGAGACACTCTCTAGGTCTGACTTCAGTGTAGAGAATTCAGCTGTGACCTACAGTCTTGTGCTAAGCCTCCATTAGGACTTTTCCCAGATTCGACCTGGTTGAGTGGATGTCAGGAGCTCATGTGGATAAGGTTAAAATGTACCCATGCCCACTCTCCTGGCTCACAGCAGGAGCTCTGGAATCCCACCCTTGGGCATGTTAACCTTAAATCACTTAGAGTCATGGGGCTGGTTCCCTCTATATTTTAAAAGGAGGAAGCGGCTCCAGACATTTCCAGCATCTCCTTCCTAGGTGACTCAGATGTGTTAAAGGCTTTGGGTACCAGGGACCTGTGTACATGTAGGCAAAGTGTAGGAAACAGCCAGACAGCAGATATGGGGAAGGAGTTTTGGATGCCTGCTGGTTACCAAGCAACATGCTATGTCCTTTTGTTACATTTCGCTTATCTTATTTATTTTTCTTTTTTTCTTGAGACAGGGTCTCTTGTAGTCCCAGCTGGGCTGGAACTTGCTGTGTAGACCAGGCTGGCTTTGAACTCACAGAGATCCACCTGCTTCTGCCTCCTGAGTGCTGGGATTAAAGGCATGTACCACCACCACTCCTGGCATTCACTTATCTTCTTATAGATGATAAAACAGGGACTCAGGTGTGCCAGGGACTGGTCTAAGGTGATTTCATTAATGACTGGCAGGCCTGGGATAGGAGCCCCCCCCCATGGCCAAGGTATGCCTAGACATGGATCATGAATTAAGATGTGATAGGGGGGAAGTGGACTTGATCCTGACCTTAGAGGACACTCAAGCCCTACCCAAGGTCATTTAAGAGGAGACAGGATTCTGTCACTATGGTCTACACATAGTGATCCCTTTTGAGTCATCCTTGTCACATAAATCTCAGGAGGATGGCAGCGTTGAAGTGACACTGAGCACTGTCACACAGTTGGTGGTTTTTGCCATCTCTGCGATGCCACTGATTGTGAGATACACATTTAGTTTTTGTCCCATAATGGAGGAAAACCCCCAAGATAAGGACTCTAGTGGAAGACCCAAGTAAGAAGTGCAGGGCTGCCTTGGGCTGGCATGGGCTTTGCTTGGGATCAGGGAGCTCTGGATCTGCCCTCTGGGGGTCATAAAGAAACCCTCCGTGGCTCTGCTTCAGTGTCTAGGATAGGAGCAGGGACAAGGTCTCTCCTGAGAATCTCGACTGAACGTTGGTGCTCATGCAAACTTGAAGCCTGAGCTCCTGCTGCCAGTGTAGATCAGGCAACCTCAAGCTAAGAAAATTGTGTGCAGTGCTTAGTAGTAGTGGAGGAGCTACTGCACCTCGGCTAACAGTGAACAGCGAGCTCTGATTTCAAGGGCAAGCATCCTGGTCAATGGGCAGTTGCAGGATGTAGGGTCTGCCCTGAGTCTTGGTATCCATATGTAGGGCTCTCTTGCTTGCAGCCCCTCCACTTTTGTTTACAGAGATGGTCTTTGACCTGGGTGTTGCTGTGGCTCTGCTCCTACGTGAATACTTCAGTCTGCTCTGGAGGGCTCAGCTGTAGCCATTCATGTCTGTAGACAGTCAGGTGGAAGGAGCCAGTGGCTTTCAGCCCTAGCTGAGCCAGAGCTGTGTCTACTACTCTGACTCACAGCACTTTCTGTGTCGGCACAAAGCCTCTTGTTTTCTGTTGCTTCGGTTGACAAACGGAGAAAGACATCCCATCTTTTCCCAAGAGGGTGTGCCAGGCTGCCTGTTTTCACCCTCAATAATGTGAGCCCCAAGGCATGGAGGGTCTTTGAGGAAATTAAACATCAAACATATCACAGGCTTGTCTCTTACATGACCTCAGTCTGTACAGTTGAGGATTTTGGTTTAACCACGAGCTGCTTACAGATTGGAAATCCAGGTGAGCCTATGGGAGAACTGTCTACTGGACTGCTGATTCAAATTAAATTTGGAGCCTGTTCAGGGTGTGCCTGGGGAATTCAGCCTGGATAGAGCTTGACTGGTGGGAGCAAAGACCCCTTTCCTTCCATTTTTGTTTCCCTTTTCTTTTTATGCTAATGGGGATTGGACCTAGAGCCTTGTGCGTTCTAAATGAGGTTCTACCACTGAGCTACATCCTCATTCCACTTTGAGACAGAATCTCACTCAATTGCCCAGGCTGGTCTTGAACTCACTCTGTAGTCCCGGTAGACTTTGAACTTGTGATCTTCCTGCCTCTGCCTCCTGTGTAGCTGGGCTTATAGGCCTGCCCCACCAGACCCAACTGGAATAATTTTCTTTGTATTTGTGTGGCATTTCAAACATAGATACTGCCTAAACTGTTATTCTGTGCAGTTCTTTTTCTCCCAGACTTGGAGATGTAGGAGAGATGAGTCCATGTTCTAGACAGGGAAAGTGAGTGTCCCTGGGATGGCCAGTGGGGACCCATCTCTGGGGTCTATTAGTAGGCTCTGTTAGACTGATTCAGTCCAGCCTGGAGGTGGGGCTTGCTCTGATGGTGACTGTCCCCTCCCTCAGGCTCTTGAGTACAACATCTTCGAAGGCATGGAGTGTCGTGGCTCCCCATTGGTGGTCATCAGCCAGGGCAAGATTGTTCTGGAGGACGGCACCCTTCACGTTACTGAAGGCTCTGGACGCTACATCCCCCGGAAGCCCTTCCCTGACTTTGTATACAAGCGTATCAAGGCAAGGAGCAGGGTGAGTGGTTTTGTTCTCACTTTTGAAAATCATGGGTTAAGTTTAACTCCACAGGCATTCCTTGAGTACTGTGTCAGACTACTGGGATGGGGGATGTGGTGATAAGGACAAACCCACCTTTTAATCCTGAAACTTAACATACTGGTGGAAGGGTGAAGGATGACTAGAGCTGTGGTGGAAGGTGAGGACCCGGAGGACGGAGTCAGTGATGCCAAGTCGTGTCATGGGAGAAGACATCTGGGTTTTAAAGGCTAAGTAAGTTTCTCAGATTAAAAAATGGAGATAAACTGGGTAGAGGAATATGGTATGTGGGAAATGTACATTGTGTTCAGGCGGGGTGAGCTACCCATAGCTGGTGCTCTGGAGAAAGGGTCTGGCTAGAAGGGAATTAAAACAAGAGTGAAACTGAAGGCAGTTTGAACTTGAACCAGACACCAGAATCTCCTCAGAGCATATTCTTAGAGGGTCTAAACATGATGCTCCCTGGGATGGAATAATCAGAAAGAAGGTCGTCGTAGAGTAACCAGTTGCTGGTGACCCAGCTCAGGAGAGCTTTGGCCTAGAGCCAGAGGAGCTGGTTGTCTATGTGTCCTGTTTTATCTATCCATAAGGAGGACCCCATCCTTAAACATCTCAGGCCCCTCCTGGCTGCTGCTCCATCCCACTGGGAGGGTTCTGGGGAGTTGTCCTCTCTGAATGCGGCCCAATGTGAGATGCTTGTGTGTTGCAGCTGGCTGAGCTGAGAGGGGTCCCTCGTGGCCTGTATGATGGGCCTGTGTGTGAGGTGTCCGTCACACCCAAGACTGTCACCCCAGCCTCATCAGCTAAGACGTCCCCTGCCAAGCAGCAGGCACCACCTGTTCGGAACCTGCACCAGTCTGGATTCAGCTTATCTGGTACGGCCAGGGCTGGGTGGGTTCTGGGTAGGGTTGGCAAGCTTTATGGGGCCAGTCTTGCTGGGGCTGGTGAGGTTGCCACTGCATCAGAAAATGAGAGGTGGTAATAGTCTCATTCTTTCCAAATGGGAAACATTCCAGCCGCCAGACATGAATCTGCAAATGACAGCTGGGTTTCAAAGTCTTGAACTTGGTTCATGTCACATGCAATGCTGAGACACTCATCCTGTGTATGACACCTGATAGACTGAAGGGACACTTTCCAGTCTGTCATGTCCATTGTGAAAAAGGAACTGTGGTGGATGAGTATAGAGTCTGGAGTTCAGCGACTTCACCTCCTAGGTCAGAACAGCTATGCCTCAGGCTCCCTACCTGTGGAGTGGGCTACGACAACAAGAGCTTCCTATGGAGCTGTTGTGATATCCAGTGAGTTCGTATTCATCTAAGCAGCCTAGGACAGAGCCACTGGACACCCGAGAGTCATCTGCTGGGGTAAAACCTGTGATGCTCGCTTTGTGAGAGGAAAGGGTCCAGGTTTTAGACTTTCTGCCCTGGAAACTTCCTTCCTGCTCTTCCTTTGGGTCCATGACGGGACTCTTTCCTTCTAAGTTCTGTGGCCTGTGGATGACAGCATTCCTTAGACTTTTCTAGTCATATCCTCTAGTTTTTAGAAAGTGCTGTATGCACCACAGATGGATGAGGAATTAATTACCCACCTTCAGAAAATGTCAGGGTTTTTCTTTCTTTTTCTGGACAGGATCTTTAATTCTAGTTTGTCCTAAAGTATATTTTACACTGCCTATGAGACCCAGTCTTACCTTGACATTGACGTAGAAGGTACAGGTGGAGGTCCCTTACCTACATGCTTGGGACCAGAAGCTAATTTGCATTTTTAAAAATTGGAAAAATTTTCATGTCCATAAAGAAATATTTTGTGACTAAGATCCAAATCTAAATACAAAGTGGAAGAGATGACCCAGGTATATACTGCAGCCCAGCGTCGTGGCACACACCTTTAGTCCCAGCACTGAGGAGGCAGAGGCAGGTAGATCTCTGTGAGATTGAGGCTAGCCTGGTCTATATAGCAAGTTCCAGGCCAGCTCTGGCTACAGGGAGACCCTGCCTCAACTCTTCTGCCAACCCCCCCCACCCCCCCAAAAAAAACCCAAGCAGTGTGTCAGGCAGCACACAACCACCTATAACTCCAGTCCAGGGACTCCAGTGTCCTCTTCTGGCCTCCTCAGATACTGTACTCCTGCATGTTCCCCACAGACACATTGAAACATCATAAAAAAATAAAAATGAAGGCTTTCAAAAACATAACCAAAAAGTACACTTAATGTTTCATTCTCATGGGATTCACAGTCTGAGGGGAATTTCTTACAGTAGTTTCAGTGTGCCCAAGTTTGACTGTAACTTGCCACATGAGGTCACGTATGGAATTTTCCTCTTGTGACATCCTGTCAACCCTCAAGAAGCTCTAGAGTTTTGGAGCATTTTGGGTTTGGGAGTTTTATTATTTTTTTTTAAGTTTTATCTATTTTATTTTATGTGTGTGAGTGTATTGTCTGCATGTATGTAAGTGCACCTGTGTCATGCAATGCCCGCAGAGGACAGAAGTTGTCGGATCCCTTGGAACTGGAGGGTTGGTTGTTAGCCGCCATGTGGGTGCTGGGATTCCAACCCAGGTCTCTGCAGGAACAGCCAGTGCCCTTAACGGCTGAGCCATCTCTTCAGCCTCCAGGGTTTGGAGTTTGAGATTTGGGGTGCTCCACCTGGACCAGCAGTGTTCTTTCTTAAGAGATGGGGGTCCTCAAACAAACCACACCCACTTTGACTGCAGGAATGGGGACAGGATGTTAGCTGAAGTGGAGATGGTGAATCTAGCTTTACTTTCTTGGGAACAGACCCAGCTAAGCCTCTGGGAGGACCACGTGTACCGTGTGTGACCCTTGGACTTCCTGTAGTTTGAACCTTTACTGAGGTTTGGTACACAGGGTGAGGAGGGTATCTGGCCCTGGTTCTCCCAAGATGCTCCTGGGCTTACCTCAGGAATCTGCTTTACTTCTGAGGACTCTCACCCATCTTGTCTCCTTTCTCCTCTGCAGGTGCTCAGATTGATGACAACATTCCCCGACGCACCACCCAGCGTATCGTGGCGCCCCCTGGTGGCCGTGCCAATATCACCAGTCTGGGCTAAATAAAGCCCTTGGGCCAGCAGGCCACTTGGGGATGGGGGATGGGACACCTGAGGACACTGAGACTTCCTTCCATATTTTTTTTAAGAGCCTGTGATAGTTGCTGTGGGCAGCCAGTTTCTGGGGCTCCCTCTTGGGCCCCACACTCCATCTCCCCTGGAGTTCCTGAATTGCTCACCCAAGTCCCTACACATCCATGAACACCACACCCAAGCCTAGCCACCCACCCCACACGGAGCTGCATCCAACACACAGACATGCGCCACCAAGCAAACCCCAGCAAGGGGGCCCCCGTCCGCCCTCGGCTGTGCAGTCGGCATCTTCCTTGTTGTGGGGAAGATACAGTGAATTTCCCAGAGCTGCCTTCTTTTCTTTTTAAAATTTTAAAAAGGGTTTTCTTTGTGGGAATGAGGGGGGTGGGGGTGGGAGAGGTTTTTTTTTTGTTTGTTTTTTTTTAAATACTAAATTGAAAGCCCGATTCATTATTAATCCATGGGTCTTGAACTGGACATCCTAATGATGCAATTATATAACCATTAGGCTGATTGGGGGCTGGCAGGCTGCTGCTGCCTCTCCTGAGAGGCTCCACATGTCCACATCACCATCTTGTACTCTTCAGGGTCAGCTGTTGAGAAAGGGCAGGTTTTCTTCTGGCTTAGGTTTTGCTGCAGATGAGACCTTTCGAGGCCACCCCTCCTCCTTTTACTCCATCTTTGGTCTTTCTAACTTTTCCTCCCGTGTGCGTGTATGTTTTCAGTTGTTGGTCTGTCTTTGCGTTTCCCTGAGCCAGTGTTCTTCTCTCTTTGCCCTGTTGTCTGTTCTTAAAGCCAGGTCTACCAGTTTGGCCTTGATCGTAGCCTGGGAGGACCCCAGTTTTGCCCTTATACCCATAGTTCTGTCTTATTCTGGTCCTTGTTAAGACTGGTGCTATCTGATCACCATCGCTAGAAGGTGTCCTGAGTTTGAGGGATGGCCTGGATTACATTACTGATATTGTCACGTGTGGACCCAGAATAGAGCCACTTGGAGGTATAACGTAGAAACATTGTTTCCATCAAGGCTGATTGGCTAAAGACAGGGTCAAATCTGAGCTCAAGTGAACCAACCAGTCTCCTGCCATCCAGGAGCTGGGAAGGGCTCCTCCAAGGGGAGTGTGGCCCTGAGGGCTGGCTTTTCCCCAGGAGGTATCTTTGGGGATTATAGAACATACCACATGTTTCAGTGTAAGGAAAAAACATCTTTTTTTTTTTTTTTTTTTTTTGTCCAGTTATTTCAAAAGGTCTAACAATATATAGAAGGCCTTATAAGTTAAGAAAATCTTTGGAAAATTGGGCTTGAAGTCTGTTTTACAAGAGGAAAAATCCCGTTTTAGGAATAGTTTGTTGTCAGAAGGAAACCTGAATGTGTTAGCCCCTGCTTAGAGATCACATGTCATCTTGTAAAGACCCTGTCACCTCATATCCATCAGCCTTCCTCTTCCTGTCATGGTGACATTTTTTCACTATCTGGCTCCTTTCTGTCCTTGCGGACTTGTGTTGTATCTTTTCCACATGTGTACATAGATCCATGTAAGCAGTGTTAGGTCCGCAGGCTTTTATGAGTCCAAATTGCTTGTATGAAACAGAAATCAGAAAGTAGGTCATCACCTTGTCATTTTTCTGTCCACACATTTTGCCTTTGGGGTTAATGGTTGGGGTTTTGGTTTGTTGTTGTTGTTGGTTTTTGTTATTTTAAAGGTAAATTGCACTTTTAAAAAAAATTGGTTGACTTAATATATTTGTTTTTTTTCTTTTCTTACCTGCACTTAGAGGAAATTTGAACAAGTTGGAAAACAATTTTTTTCTGTTTCAATTCTGAGAAACACATGCAGCTCTTCAGGATTCACTGTCTTCCTGATGTTCCTTGTACTGGGTCTTGGCCTTTTGGTTGTTTTTTCTTGTTTTCATAAAAAACGGTTTCAAACCTGAAGATTTCCGCAGGCTGTGTAAGCATGTTTACCTGTTGGCTTGCTTCTGTGTCTGTTAAATGAATGTCATGTAAATGCTAAAATAAATGGACAGCGTCTCAGAACTGAGTTAACTGCAGTGACTTGATGCTCTAAATCAGTATAGGATTTACTGCTAGATGGTTTCTAACCCTTGAACTTGTGATTGTGACCCTTGAGTGGACGACCTTTCCGTGCTAAAGCTGATCACGTGTGTAGCCAGAAAGGTACTTTTTTTAAATTTGTTTTATTTTTTTGTAACCACTGTCTTAATGGCAAAATAATTATGGTTAAAACAAGTCTCGTGTTTATTATCCCTTCAGAACTCTGTGTTATATTACCATGGAACACCTAATAAAGCAAAATGTGGTGGTTTCAGGGGTGTGTCTGTATGGAAAGTCTTATGGTGTCTGTTTCCCTTGTGATGTTAGTCCAGGGGAAGCCCCCAGCTCGGCTTGGGTTCGGAACCTGGATGGATCAGCTCAAGGTTGCTTACTCCGTGGCACAGGATGAGTTTCGTTCCAAGTAGGGCCACGGCCTGTGTGTAGCTTGGAGGTGGAGGGTCAATGTCTAAGAGGAAGCAGTCTTCCAGAAGTGAGCCTCAAAGCCAAGTGTGAACCTGGGACTCGGGTGGGACCACATGAAATGAGGCGGATTACTCCTACTGGCTCTCACATCCATGTAATGTGTTTACTCTGGAGAGCCTTGTAGCTACCTGGGTGCAGAAGAGAGAAGGGACCGACAGCAATGGTGTGACAGCTCAGTGGAGAGGCTGCCAAAAGCCAGGACTAAGGTCTTCCACCCTCAATCCAGGGAGGCGACGTGGGTGAGATGCACATGGGTGGCTGGTGCTGGGTTTGCACAGTCCTCTGCTACTGGTGGTATTACTCTAATGACCGTGAACAAAGTGATTCGGGTGCTCTGGGCCTGTCCTATGGATTGGCTTTCTTCCTTTCCCTCCCCCTTTTTGCTCAAAATATTGTTATGTATAATACACAACATATATTGTGTATATTTATTATCTATTCAATGAATAAAAATGAATGAACTGGACTAGAGAGATGGCTCAATGGTTAAGAGCACTGGCTGCTCTTGCAGAAGACCCAGGTTCAGTTCCCAGCACCTACAAGGGAACTAACAACTCCCTAACTCCAATTCCAGGAGATCTGACACCCTCTTTGGGCTTCTGTGGACATTGCTCGACATTGTTGCACTTACATACATGCAGGGAATACACTTTGTACCATTAAAATAAAAATAATATTTTTAAAATGCATAATGAGCAAACAAAGATAGCAATATTCCATCAGCAAAGAGAGTTTGGGTGATGGGAAAGTAGGGTTAGGGAACACAAGGCCCCAAACGACTTAGTTCAAAACACCTGCTAGGATCCTGTGAACTCCTCTGAGTGACCTACTATGGCCAGTTAAAACATTGACCGTGACCAAGGATAGAGAAAAGGAATTCAGTCTGCAAAGAAGACTCAGTGAATCCTCATCCTTGGTCCTGAGGGGAAGGCTTGGGTTTTCTCAGAAGGCACAGTGTAGAGTGTGCAGGGCTGGCTTTGTGACCACGTAAATCATGTATGTGTGGGAGGGGGACATCTAACGTGAGGCTCCTGTAAGATAATGAAGACTTAAGTCCATCCTGTCATTCTCCAGACTCCATCCCACACCAAGAAAGGCCAAGTGGTCAGACCTGTGGGTCCTGTAACCCGAAAGCCCACATTCTGCTCAAGCCCTCCTAGAGAGCTGCTCCATGGGGAGTCCCTAGAAACCGAGGTCTGTCCTCTGTAGACCCCACAGTGGGGCCCACATAGGAACTAGGAGGCCTGGATCTACTCGAGTAGGGGATTTTAGGTACCTGGGCCAGGCCTGAAGGTGGCAGCCTAGGCTGTGGCTGGTAGCATCTTGTTGACTGCTCCTCTTGATTGGGAAGAGGCATGCTGGAGGGGGCAGACAGCAGTGTGTAGAGATGGACTAGGTACCTAGTGCTACGGCCAAATCCAGCTGGCTGTGTAACTGCTGGTGTGATGAACTGCAGACTCATGTTAGAGCAGCTAGGCAGAGGTCGTGGTATGCACAGCCTTTAGGACGTGCTTTAGCCTCACTGCTGTGAGTCAAAGGCTCCTTTCTCTGGCATGTTTCGGTAGCATGAATTCTGTAAGAACAGGCAGCTTTTTTCTCCATCAGCTGAGTTGGGTATCAGCCCGTCTGTGAGTGGGTGTTTCAGAAAACCTAGCTGTCAAGTGTAAGACCTGAGACACATTTTCCTTTGATAAAGGACAAGCCAGGGATGGGTTGGGAGTGGAGTAGAGGAGTGTAAAGGGACACTAGGAAACCGCTGGAAACAGTGTCTCCCATGTCAGTTCTAAGGTGGAAACACGTGGAAATGACTGCAGACTGGCTGTAGGGGACGCTGGGGATAGCATCTGTTGTTTCTAAGCAGTCTGTTGGTTAGAATCTCGAGGCTGACAGCTGACATTTATCATGACGTGCCAGGACTGTTTTAAGAGCTGCAACTGAGCTAATCTTTGCCACAGGCAATGAAGAAGGTGCCATTGTGTTGATGAACAGACAAGGAGACACAAGTACAGAGAGTTCAGTCAGTTGTGCAGAAGCAGCTTTGAGTCGGCAGCCTGGAGCCAATGGGCACGGGTTGTATATTTATATATTTGTTCACTTGTTTGTAAGGGGGGGATTTACTGTTGCAAAGAGGCATTTGTCATAAATGTAAATGTATTGAAAAAGAGAACATTTGTAAAAATGCACCAAAGAATATACACAAGCAAATAGCTGAGTGTGGACAGTAAGAAAAATTTGTGGTTTTTTTGAGGCACAGTTCCCCTATGTAGCCTAGGCTGGCTTTGAACTCATGATCCTGCTTCAGCTACCAGAGTGCTGAAATTCCAGGTTATACTACCAAACCTAACCCAGAAAATATTTAGAGAAAAACAAAGTAAAGGCAAACTGGACTTTCTGGACATAAAGCCATTTATAGTTAATTAATTTAGTGATAGAATGATAGCAATTTAAGTACATAATGGGAAAGAATTAAGGGTCCAGAACAGATCTAGAGATAGATGCAAGAGATGCAGCTCTGTCTCTGGCTAGCTGCCTGCCTTCCACTCAAGGAGAGTGGTCGAATGTTCACTTGCTGTTATTCCCAGTCTCTGAGAAGAAAGTTCCTGTGTAGGAGGGTGGGAGTGAGAGGGTGGAAAGCATGTGAAGACTGTGCTGGATGTCAGGCAGGGAGAGTGGGCAAGCCAGCTGCAGAGTGGGCTGGAGGATGATCTCACTACATTAATTTGGAAATGTGTGGCCCCTAGTAAAGAGATGAGACAGTATACACAACACATTCAAGGGAAGAATGTTGTAGGAGAGGACATGATGAGTCAGGGGACACTGATTGGAATGCATTCAGTTTTATAGAGATTTGAGCAAATATGTTGATATGAAAATTACAGACGTGTATATATACACAAATATATGTAATTTGGGGATTTATGTGGATGAGTGTTTTGCCTGCATGTATATAAGTACACTCACTCATGCGTGCAATACCCACTGAGGCCAAAAGAGGGCATTGGATTCCTGGAACTGGAGTTACAGATGGTTGTTAGCTGCCATGTGGGTACTGGGAATTGAACTTGGGCCCTCTGCAAGAGCAGCCAGTGCTCTTAACTGCTGTACCATCTCTTTAGCTCCCAACATAAACAATCAATTTTTATAAGGATCTCAAAACTAAATGGGGTCTATGAAAATACTTAAAAATATTTAAAAAAATATGTATCAAGGACACTGAGGTCAACCTCAGTGTAACTTCTCAGGATGCCAATATAATCTTTTTGAGACAGGGTCTCCCTGTAACTCCAGCAGGCATGGAACTTGCCATGTAAACCAGGCTGACTGAGATCTCACAGAGATCACTAGCCTCTGCCTCCCGAGTGCTAGGTGCTTTGGTTAACTGTCTGTCTGTCTGTCTATCTACCTACCTATCATCTATCATCTGTCAATCATTTATCAATCTGTCATCTATCTATCTATCTATCTATCTATCTATCTATCTATCATCTGTCTATGGGTATTGTTATTTAATTAAGATCTAGTATTAGAAGAGGGCTGGTGCCCACATGGGTGACAGGCAGGGGATGCCCTCAAGTGCTGCTTTGAGCTCAAGGCTGCACTTAACCTGAGGGTCCATGAGAGGAACACTGAGAGGGATGGAGAAGACCAAGCAGGGTTTGTAAATGTTCGCCATTAAATAATTCATTACACATGTGATGAGCTTTGGGAACCAGGCCTCACTGGTGCTGGCGTTACACAAACAGTCCTGATCCTAAGAAGTGCACCCGCTCACACACATCTCGGCATGTGCTGTAGGAACAGGTGGAGGGCAGAGGCAAGAGCCCTGCAGCCCTGCAGCCCTGCCCTTGACTGGGGCTTGCTGCTTTCAGTTTTATGCTTTGTCTCTAAATTGTATTTGTAAAATGTGCTCTGAATGCACTTAAAAGCTTTGTTTCCCTTTGCGCTTTTTCTAAGTGTAAAGCAGGGGCAGGAAGGGAAGAACTCGCCTCTCTTAGGATTGGCCTCCTCAGGGAAGGCCAATGTCCTGACGTGCAATGGGTTTCCCATTTTCTTTCTTTCCTCCCCTCCCTCCCTTCCTTCACCTCTTCCTTCCTCTCTCCCTTCCTGGCCTGTGAGTGCACATGTGACCAGAGGTCAACCTCAGTTTAATTTCTCAGGATGCCATCTACATATATATACATGCATATATATGTATATGTATGTAGTCTTTTTGAGACAGGGTCTCCCTGTAGCCCCAGCAGGCCTAGAATTCACCATGTAGACCAGGCTGACCTTGATCTTAGAGATCCACTTGTCTGCCTCCTGAGTGCTAGGATTAAAGGCCTGCACCACCATGCCAAGCTCTACCTATAGATATATTTTTAAAATATTTATTATTTTTATTTTATGCGCATGTGTGTATTGCCTGCATGTATGTAAGTGTATCCATGTTGTGCAATGCCTGTGGAGGACAGAAGAGGTGGTCGGATCCCCTGGAACTGGATGGAGACAATTGTTAGCTGCCATGTGGGTGCTGGGATTTGAACCTGGGTCTTCTGCAAGAACAGCCAGTGTTCTTAACTGCTGAGCCATCTCTCCAGCCTCTCTACCCATATTTTTTAAGACAGGGTCTCAGTGAGCTTAGAGCACACTGATGAGGCTACGTTGACTGGCTGCCTAACAAGTCTCCAGAATCCTGTCCCAGTCTCCTTAGTACTGAGATTACAGGTGTGTTTCACTATTCTGGGATTTTTGACATCGGTTCTGGGGATTGAACCCAGGACCACGTATATGCTTGCAAGACAAGCACTT